CACACACACACTTTTGCCAATAACAAAATCTGAGTCGGTTTGATTTAGAAATATGTCTTGCTTTTATTTCGCATTAAACACTAAAATGTTATAGAACTGTTTTTTTTGTCAGAATGTTTCCCCTGAACATGCACCGGATATTGTGGTTTTTATAGATGCGATTGCAATAATTCTTGAAGAGGCTTTAAAGGATGGAACACCATTATCATTACCAATTGCATGCATTGAAGCTGGGGATGAACACTGTTTGCCGAATTTAGCCCTCAGGTTTTTATGTCGTTAAAGTATTTTAATCTGGTCATTGCAGTTATTAAGATCATTCAGAGTATTTCTGCTTAAACTTTCTCATTAGTAGTGCATCTTAGATGAGATAATGATTATTGTCTGTTAAAGATAATCATGTCTACTCATATTACTTCCTAGCACACTATATCAAGCTGTATATTTTTTCTTTCACCTTCAAGTTGTGTACAATACTACTTTATGCTTTTCTTTTCTTTTTTTTATATAATAAAATCACGACCAAACGCTGAATAGCATCTTTCTTATCTTTATATATTAAATGTTCAAAACTTTAAGTTCTGTTTGGTAACCATTTTTTCAAAATAAAATTTTTTTTCTAATACTTATTTTCAACAACACGTTTTCACAATAAAATATTCTTTACGTAAATACAAAACCTTTTCTTATTTTTTAACTACACATTCTCCAAAAAATTACTATTCCAAAACTCATTCTTCCCAAAAAAAATTCAAAAGAATGGCGGTCAAACAGGGCCTTACTAATTTTCTAAAAACTCTTTTTCTTGGTCAAATTTAATATCATCGTTTCTCAGTTACCTAATTTTAATGACCTTTTTCCTTCTTTTATACATCTAGAGAAAATTGATTCTGAGATTAAGCCCATATTTGGGCTCCATTTTTCCGAAAGTGCGTTTTCCAAAACTCATTTTCATCCATTCATTTTCCCATAAATAATGTTAACGTAAATCCAAAACTTTTCCTTATTTTTTTACCAAACAGTCTCCAAAAAAAATCATTATTCCAAAACACATTTTTCTTAGAAGTCTCGTTTTAATGGAGCCCAAACAGGGGCTAAGAAATTCATATACATTTTTTCATATTCACACTTATGATGTCTATAATTGGCATAGAATCTGTTGCAAACAGGAAGATTGACTCATATTTTTGGTTTGCAACTTTTGCTTGTTCTTCAAATTTTGACAGGTTGAATGTGGTATATTATTGGCAGGAGAGGAGAAGAACATTCTTTTATTCTCAAACCAGCAACATCATTCTGGAAGCATCCCAAGGGTCTCAGTAATAAAAATTTACTACCATCGTATTCATCAGCTGAAAATGGGGCATCAAGTTTGCTTTATTCCTCCTGCATTGAAGGGAAAGAAAGTGGATCCCCTCCTGATCACTATGCAGTTCTTGTATCATGTCGATGCAATTATACTGGTACAGAGCCTTAAATTATGTATTATCTAAGGGCAACTTGGTTCCTGGAGTTCTATGCTTATGAGATTTATGTTTCATCTGCTCATGTGCAGAATCAAAATTGTTTTTCAAGCAGCCAACAAGCTGGCGCCCTCGTTTTTCAAGAGATCTTATGATTTCTGTCACATCTGAAATGTCTAGACAAGCTTTTGGGTCGGACATAACTCAGCTTCCAGTTCAGGTAATATACGATCCAAGCAATGAGTTTTCCTTCTGAAATTGCAAGCTACATTTTTAAGTGGTTCAAATTTTCAGGTCTTGACTCTTCAAGCATCAAATATGACATCCGAAGATCTAACATTTACAGTTCTTGCCCCATCATCATATCCTTCTCCTCCTCCTGCAGTCTCTTTGAGCAATTCACCATCATCACCCTTGAGTTCATTTGTTGTTCCTTCAAACTTAGCAGAGAGAGTGAGTAATGATGAGCAAGAGGCTTCTGAACAGAGGCTAATCTCAGTATCAAATAATCACGGACAGGAAGTGAAAGGTAGTTTTCCATCAGCTTCTTTTAGTGAGCAACCTGTCCCTATAGCTGATGTCCTTCCGACTGCTGATCTTGGTTGTACGCATTTATGGTTGCAGAGTAGAGTTCCTCTTGGGTAATTTAATTTCTCTCTAATTTCCTCTTTGCCTCCTTTTTTATTATTATTATTGTTATTTATTTATTTTTTATTTTTAACTTAACTCGCTCAAGGTTTATCTATCCTTGCTTTAGATGTGTTCCATCTCAATCTACAGCAGCTATCAAGCTTGAAGTACTCCCATTGACGGATGGCATAATTTCTCTTGATTCTTTACAGATTTATGTAAAGGAGAGAGGTATTTTCCTTGCTGGTTATTTTTAGAAGGTGTCTTGAAAAGATGATTATGAAGGGTATCTGGTTATCACTGTTGCATATTTATGATACATTGGTTTCAGTATGCAATCACTTAAATATAAATTTTACTTAATTTATCAAAATGGTATGAGGGATCTCACCGTAAAGATCATTGGTTGTTGCTTGTAATCCGGATATCAGAGGCTGACTTTCTATGACGCAGTGTGATAAATTTGGGCATGGACGTGGCGGCACAACAAACTTTTTGGAAAAAAATTGTATTACTACAATAATTGTATTACACCTAATAGAAAAAAAAGGTACTAGTTGACATTTTGTTTTTTAAGTTATCTCATCAATAATTAAAAGAAAGATCTCGCGTTTAATGTGAAGGAAAGGAAAATTGTTACTCACAACTAAGGTGCTTCACAGCATATCTTTTTCGTGTGAATGATAAGACTGTTGCTTTGTTATTTAATTCTGGAATTTGGTTTCTTGCAATGAAAGAACCAGATCCTATTCAAGTTTTATTTTCAACATTTCAACTGCATACAACAACAGTTGGATATGCGTATGAAAAAGTGTCTACCCCTGGTTTAAATATACAAGGAATCTTATTTCCAACAGACACTATTAAAAGAGTACACTCCTCTCTTAGTAGTGTCCTGTTGTTTTAGATGGATACTGTCAATTTCTATGATAGGAGAACTAATGTGCCTTTAATGGCTGTTGTATGTTTAAAAACAAATGCCAAGTTCAGGTGAACATTTTAGACCCCCTATTTTTTTTTTGTCTAAAATGTTTTCAATCTTCTAAGGATCTTTATGCATCGTGTAGTTCACATTATTCATTTTCTTTATTTCTCTCTTATTGCCAAGAACAAAACTGAAGTTAGTGATTGGAATTGAATTTTGATATTACAGGTCTTACTTATATACCAGAGCATTTGCTGAAGATAAATGCAACTTCGAGTATCACCACTGGTATAGTATAAGATCGTTGTTTTCGGGTTTTGATTATTCGATATTGTCTTAGTATTGATAAGTCACTCAAATTTCTCTGTGGCTCTTTGTTGTTGCCTTTTTGAATATATGAGAACTATTAATTTCATCCCTGATGACAGATGTTTAAATGTGCTAATAAATAGCCTTTTTCCTGCATGTTGTTTATATATATATATATAT